ATATATATAAATGAAAGAATAGCTAACGACTACACTTTTCTTTGTCAAGTTTTAAAATTTTAGCATTTTTTATGGTTTTAAACTTCGAGGGTGTGATTTATAATTTTTAAAACTTTAGGAGTATTTTTAAAAAACTACTTTTAAGTTTGATAGTTGTAACTTCTATGTTTCATGTGTCGGTAGTAATTTTTAAATATCATGATTTTTCTTACAACTCCAAAATTTTGAAGCTATTTTTTACAATTGTTAAAACTGTAAATTAATTTAAAAAAAATTAAAATTCAGCGGTCTACCAATAGTTTTCAGATTTGATGTGTACTGGTTATAAGTTTTAAAATTTTAGAGTTTTTTTTATTTTTAAATTTTAAAAGAGTTTTTTCTATAACTTTTGTAACTTTAAGGTTAATTTTGGTAAATTTTAAATTTTTAGGTGTATGAGGGTAATCTCTTTAATTCATCTTTTATTATTTGTAAATTTTAAAATTTTAAAAATTTTAGGATTGTTTTTTATAATTTGAAATTTTGAGTGTGTTTCTTTATTTTTTGGGATACTGAGGGTGTTAATTGAAAATTTTAAATTCTTTAGAGGCTGCTATTAATTTATTAATTTCATGTTTGTTGTTTTAAGGTTTGAAATGTCAAAAATTTTCAGGTGCGTTATGGTAATCCCTTGAATTTATTTATGTTGTTTGCAAGTTTTGAAAATTTATAATTTCAGGTGCTTGTTTGTACTTTGAACTTTTGAGAGGGTTTCTATAATTTTTGAGATATTAAGATGTTAACCATAAATTTTAATTTTTTTCGCAAACTACTATTAATTTCTTGATTTCATGTTTGTTGTTTTAAGTTTTTAGACGTCGAGATAGTTTTTATAATTTTAAACTTTTCAGGGTATTTTGTGCAATTTTAAAACTTTTTAGGTTTTTTTACAATACTTTATGTATTATAGTACGTTAGCTACGTATAATTTCTTTATCTTAACAAACTAATACAAGATGTTTTATATATATTATTAATATTATTTTTTTAATTGTTAAGCTATAAATAGTTCACATAGGATTAGGATATGATATAATTATGATTAGGATAGATTAATATATAAATAAAATATTTAAAATAGTGAAGGGTAATATTGACCATAGAGATTTTTTCTGAACTAGTGCTTTTAAAGGGAGTATGATATGATGTAGTTGAAATCACAACAATGAAAATTAGTTCTATTAGAACCATAATTAATATGTAGTCTTATCCACCCATCTATTTATTTATTTATAAAAAATACTATTCTTTTGTGTCAAAATTTCAAAATATCCATAAATGTCCTTGCCCTTTAAGAAATCAAAAGAAATATCCTCTCATCTCTAAAAGCTAATAGAAATATTTAAACTCAATGTTTCCACACAGCTACAAGAATTACCAAAAACTTCTCTTATTTTTTTGGTTTGAAGAGGGAACCTCCACGTGACCTTTATGTCAAACCCGACCTTAAAAAAATCAAAAGAAATATCTTTCGTCTTTAAAAACTAATAGAAACATAT